TTCACATTGTTGGAAAAATTTCTCTTATGTTTATTATTAAACCACTGTGGGATGTAAGAGGGCTGCTACAATCTGCAAGTGAATAACGGAATAGAAGGAGGAGGCTGGGTTTCTACATGCTGTGCCTAGGTGTAGAACCACCAGGCTTCTGTCCTCCAGAAAACACTTCTGAAAACCAGGTGTAGAACAGGGGTGGAGGACAAACTGAGGACAGGGGAAAGCAAGCTAAGGAGGAGGGTGGGTGAAGAGAAGAGAAAAAGAACAGTGTGTTCAAGAAGCAGACGGGGAATCATGCCTCATTTGTCTGTTGCAAATGAAGTGTTAACCAATATTTTATTTTTCATACATCTAGATTAGCTTTAAGCATCTGGGTTGGAATGTATTTTCTAAGGAATATATTTTCCTTTCCTCTATATTGACCTTCAAATGATAAAGGTAGGGAAACAATGATGAAAATAAAATATTCTTCTTAATTTTGGGAATAATTTCAGGGCTCAGGATGTCAAGCTTGCAGGGGCGTTTAAGGCAAATCCCTCCACATTCAGGCTGATTAGATTTAATGGTGCCAGGTGTATATTGAGTGATAAAGTAAACATTTCCCAAATGCTGCCTTCACAGAAGCAAGCAACCAGAGTATTTGTAGTGTGCAATTGTAGAGTTCTTACTCTGGCCAAGAGCTTGGAGCCAAATGGGGTTTGCCAGATGAAATGGAAGAAAACAAGCGTGGTCACTGCTGTTACAGCAGTAAGCACTTCACATCTGGTCTCTTGAAATGAAAAGAACGGAACCCAGCCCCCACTGGCTCACCCAGAAATTATGTCTCTTCCAGGGACTCTTTTCATTGTATTTTTGGTTAAAGCCATGTGACACACCTAAGAAACATTTTAGCATCAATACTCAAAAACACCCTTTAAAACAGCCTTTAAGCTCTATCGACAAAAGGCACCTGTGGAAGTCACTGCTTTGAGAGTGCTCATATGTATGTATGTATGTATGTGTGTATGTATGTATGTATGTGTGTATGTTCCTGCATAATCCATGTGTAATCCTAAAATGAATATCATGTCTATGTTTGGGCCATATCATTATTTAAAACTATCATCAGGAAATTATGCCCTAAACATATTAACTGGTAAAAAAAAGTCTGGTCAAGTGTTGTTTCTCTATAACCAAACACCTAGTGTAAGTGGAGGAGGCCCTTCCGTGACACTCCCAGGCAGTTTAAAATCCTGCCTTTCCCCTATTTGCTCTAGAGAAGCGCTTGAGATAGAGGACAGCCTGGAGGCCCTCACTCCAAAGAACAAAGGACAAATACAGTCAGCACATCCCATAATGCTCACATTTCCTTTGCCTTTTCCCCTTGGTTTTTCCTGGGAAGGACTGACCTGGGCAGAGCACCCCACTCTCTAAAAGACACTGTATAGACCTTTTAGAAGCGCAAAGTCCAAGGCCGAGGTGAACTTCAGGTCAGCGCGTCTAACAAATATGAAAATGTCGGCTGGTGAGGGCGCGCCTGGGACTTAACAAAGACTGTCAATGTGTAAGATTAATAAGAAACAAAATGCACACGGTGTCACTGTTCGGTCACTTTGAAACTTGGGACAGGGTTGCATTCAAGTGGGAAGGCTGTTCCAAATATATTCAAAATGATTCAAATCAGATTCAAACCAAGCTGCAAACACTGCCTTCTTTTCGCCCTCCCTCTCCCTCAGTCTCCCTCGGACTCTTCTGTTCCATCTGGAATGCCAGGACATGATGAAAAGTTATTTCCCTTAATGGGATTTTAAGATAGCATTTTGGGGAATATATGTTATCCCGGCACATGGAAATGAACAAATGTGCTTACCAGTTTCCCAAGGAAAAGATAGCGCTTCCACCCGCTTGGGACTAGAGGCAGTTGGTGTGCGAAGATTAGCAAGCTCCCTCTCTGCTCCATTTCAGGGCATCCCATCCTTTCCCCGGGGCAAGAGGCTGCTGGTAAACTTTGGTTTGTTTTTCTAATTGACTTAGTTTCTTCCTAGCTCTCCTTTGGTGTTTTGGATATTTTGTAAAGGCAAAGAGATGCTTGTTAGCTTTAACGTTTTTAAAAAACGTTATTTGACCCAGTGGGATCATGCTCTGGCTTGCTTGCAAAGGGAGGCTGTGGAGGTCCAAGAAAGGTACTGGGATTGTTTATTACAGCCATAAATCTTGCAGTAAAATGTCAAAATGTCGGTGTGGGAGATAACACTCGGTGTCCTGGCTCCGTTTGTGTTTATGATAGAAGCGCAAAGACAAGTTACAGGCCTGGAGGGGGTCTGCGCAAGGCCGTCTTCCTTAACTAATAGACCCTCAGGAAACAGGCAGAGTTAAGTCATCTCGCTTAACCATATACAAAACAGTGCCAGTGTCTCCTTAATACTTAAAGTAGGAACTCTGTAGACCGTTCTGAGGCTAAACAACAAGAATTTTGTGTTTTAGTGTCGGTAAATAATATTAAACAGACATGACCAGGACTTGTGTCCTAAAGGTTGGTGACACCAGACACAGACAAGGTTTCCTCATGTTTTTCCTCCAGCCGGAAACATCGTCAGATGTGTAAGCCATGTATATTTGTATGTACAGCATATACGTGTGCTACAGATGTTAGATAATGTCTCATTTATGTATCTATTTTCTTGCTAGAGAGAGAGATTAGTGCTTTAGCGCAGCCACCCACTACAAGCCAAGAGTGTCTCCCTTCAGTCCAGAGAGGATATTTAAAGATTAGAATCAGTGTTGACTTTTGTCTATGGCTCAGATGTCACTAAAATAATAATAATAATCAAAATCATGGTGCCTCATGTCAGCGGACAGCTCTCTTTACTGGCACACACACCCAATGTGGAAAATGTCTTCGTGCCACTTCAGGGCGATTTCAGTCAGAAACTAACATGATCCTTTTTTAAACCTCTTTCCCTAAATTAGTTTAAAGATTAGTCTCATATAATAGTCTTTATGTGGCTAAGCATTAAATGACTATCCATCAAATAGATGTATCCCGGTATTTAGTAGCCCAAGTGAGTAACCGATATGACTGAAGATAGAACTGACATTCTTTTTGAAGTGTCTTCAGGATTGGGTTATAACTTTCCTTGTCTGCGGTCGGGATGTAGTTGTGTGAAAAGACACTTGTTCTATTCTGCTCTCTGAAAAATCAACTAGGTGCACCCACTGAAATATCTTTGCCTTGCATGCCAACATGAGAGTTATTTTTAGACGGGTGACGTGCTGGTTTGCATTGCTTTTCTATCATGCAAAGGATCTAGGCGTGTGCTACTCAGAAGAAAGGAAAGAAGACGAACACAGTAGGAATGAGGCGTCAGTATTTATTTCAAATATCAACACTGGGTGGAATTAATAAGTAATTTATTTGTTAATAATGGCATAATTAGTTTACTCATCAAATTTCAATTACTAAATGGCAGGCAACAGTCCCTTCTCCCTCCTTTCCGGAGCTACTGATATCGTTAATATGCTAATTTTTAGCAGTTCAGAAATTACAGACTGCCCTGTAAGTATAGCCCTCGCCCTAGATCCTGCCTGAGGAAACAGCAACCAAAAGGGGGAGAGGGAGAAGAAAAAGTTAGAAAAGATCGGGCTGATGATCAGTCCAGCAAGGGTCTTATTCTGTCTGAAGCGTGTTTTGGTTTGGGGGTTGTTCTGAAACGCAAAGTCACTGGATTCAAAGCAGGGTATTCCTATTCTAGGGTGGAGGTCTCACAATAGCGCCCGGTAAAGGAGGCATGTTTTGTCCTCCATCAACTGCAATATAGGACGGTTCCAAATCTTTAAATGGAAAATGATGTACAAACTGTGCCCCTGGAGAAGGAAAAAAAGGGGATGGGGGAATTAAGTATCCACGAGGTTTCAGTGGACCGCCCTCGCTGTACTTCCTTGGCTGGATTGCTCAGCGGTCCATCCACCCACCCTCCCACTGCGGCTCCAGCCGGGGCTTCGCCAAGCAGGGACTGCCCAGCAGCTGGGCGGCTGTGCAGGGCATGGGTAAAGACCCAGCCGGGAGAGGAAAATAGCTCTGTAGGCCTCCTTCGTTTTATTCCTGGGCTAGGATAAAAAGCCAGGGTCTGCCCCTTGGTCCCAGGGTCCTTCCCTCTCCTGGGGGTGGGGGGTGGGCTCAAAGCCTCGGACGACTCCCCCCCTCCGCCCCCCCCCGAGGCCTGGTTGGACTGGAGGTCAGCGTTGAGCTGCGGCGACCGGCTGCCCCGAGGCCTAGGACAGGCGCGGGCAGAAACGGGGCTCAGGGGGGAGACCCGCAGCCCGACAGGCCTCAACCTCTCCGCCGGAGTCCAGGTTGCGGGGCCGAGGAAGCCGAGCCGCCGCGCCGCCCTCCCGCCCGGGTGGGGTAGGCAGCATCCATCACGGCCCCGCGCAGTTTCCTGATCCGGGTCCGCGCGCGCCGACCGCGCATTGGCCGGATGGCAGCACGTGGGGGCGCGGGGCGGGGCGGAGGGGCGGGGGGGAGGAGCTCGGCGAACTTCGGCGGCCGCGGCGGCGGCGGGAGGGGGAGGGGCGGGCGCCGAGGGTGTGTGTGTGTGTGTGTGTGTGTGTTGGGGGGGG